TTATTGCAGCTCCTATAATAGTGTATTTTAATAAGGCTTGTCAGCTTAATTTTACGTTAATAAAATACAGCTAATTCAATTAAGGTTGTCCTTTCAAAGTCAAAACTCAAAACGGCAAAACAATCTCATAGTAATAATGCTTTTCGCGCTTAGAGGTCAAAGTTTGGCGCTTAGAGGTCTAAATTGATTTAATTTAGCTGTATTTCAAAGCAAACTTCCCAATAGCTTAGTTGTATACTATGAAATATGTTTTTCAGAAATATAGTCTGGATCAATTCTAAAAATTTTCAGGGGGAGCAGGGGGCATCACAGGCATATCCCCAGATTGCCCTCCCCTAAGAGTGCAGGGTCTCACATATGACCCAGGGGCGGATTCAGCGTCTCAATCTGACCGTAGCATTTTGGATGAAATCAACATGCGGGGCCGAAGGCCACGCCCTACCTAGGGGGGTTTGGGGGCATGCCCCCCCAGAAAATTTTTGAATTTTGAAGCCCGCAAGTACCATTTCGTGCATTCTGAGCATCGAAATTAGATTTAAAATTTGTAGAAAAGTACCTGTTTTTCACACCAAAATAAGAAAAAAACGCACAAAAGTTACAAAATTTATTCATCAACATGCCACTTCGAACAACAGATTATCTTGAAAAAGTAAGATAACAGTAGTTCGAAAGTTTTCAAATGTACATCATCTTGAAACAGCGGCCCAACGACAGTTAGGGAAAATGTTTATCTGGCTAAGCAGCAGCATATATAGATCATCCTGAAACAGCAGGACAACTTATGGCAGTCAAGAAAAATATTTTCTGTACTGTATATAGAAAATCTCCAGGTTATAGGAAAAATGTTTATTTGTTTATGTTTTTTGTACTAAAATTCGAGCAGTTCTGCAGGAATTCGCGCGGAGCTGGGTGCGCAAATTTTAGTACTGCCGGAAATATAATCCGCGCGAAAAGCTTTGCGGTGTGATATTCACTTCACTCGTTGTTAGTAAATAATATAATGCAAGGCAATACCATATACGAACCTACTGTATAATATATGGGATGCTAATAAAAATTAGTTATTGTTATTGTATTAGGCAAATGAAAACCATACATTTTGAAGTTTGAACTTTATACGCTTTACTGTTATCATGAATTTTGTTTAGACAAATATTGAAGTATTTGTTGTTATAGTTATATTAATTAAACAAACCAAAAGGAACCAACACGGAAAAT